CTTAGGAAGACGTCTCCGCCCCCGCCCCCGCCCCCGCCCAACGCGACGCCTTAAACGCGGCGGACCCTCCACGCGGCGGTCGGCACGCCTCTGTCGCCTTTCGGCGCTTCCCACTCAGTTCTGTCTCTTGAGGGAGATACGGAGTAGCCAGGGGACCCATTCTGACTCCACGGTACCGAGGTGGTAGATTAATCCCTAGAATTACGAGTATTTAAATTGTAACGTTTGCTTCTAAGGGGGGCTTGTCGAGCTCACTCGTGTAATTCGTAGAAAAAAAATATATTGTATATGTTGTTATCGAGAGGTAATATATTTAACAAAATTGTGTGTTTCGAAATTTATTAAGATACTTGAAATGACAGTACTGCTTTCAGGTTCCAAAGCATTTTAACACACACGAGATAATAACGTTTCAAAATTATTGCATACCAGTTCGAAATACCTGATAAGGCATATGCTCGATTACCGCACGTGCCATATCAGTTCGCACAGGTCGGCACTTGTGTTGCTGATCACTGACTGCTATCTGTCCTCGCAGAAACTGACTTACCCACTTCGCGCCTGCTGGGTAAGGAAGGGCATTCTCAAGAACTTCCACCAATTCCCTGTGATATTCTCAGGTATTTCTCCCGGGGAGAACGGCTATCTAGGGTTATATTCATCTGGCACAGCGGTAGTCGGCCCACTAATTTCACATTGCTCTATGTGCTAATAGAGGCACTCACAAAGCCATCTATTGTTGTGAACGCATACTCTTATAAATATAAAAGCTACCTGAAGAGAGGGTAAAATGAAAACTAGATAGCGATCCCAATAGGAAGGAACGAGAGGCATTCCTTCGAGAAAGTCTGCCATTCCAGTAACAGGAACCGATCACCTAAAGAATATGGCTTCCTGATGGGGCCTTAGCAGCACCGTGGGATTGAAAAAACAATCTGGGGTACTCACCCATTGAAGGGGTATCCGGCGAAGGCTGCGGCGTCATAGGGGTGGTAGACGGAGGGGTAGGCCCACGTCGCCGCCCCCGCCGCCAGGTTCTCCTTCAGCTCCAGCCCGGCCGCCTGCGGAACCATGCGCCAATGAGACCATGCACGTATTTCTACAGTACAGAGATATTACTAATAAAAATGAACCACTTTGATTGCTACTGCTTGGCCACTGATGGCAATATAACACCAAGTTACGTCCATGCACTCATTTTGTCAGTGCACGCGTTTACTCATCATTTTGTCAGAGCGTTCATTACTATCTCATATAATGTAATCGCTTTGCATGACTTTCATTTGTTTCCCGATCTGTCAAAGTGGCCTCTTCTTAGAGTAACGCTTCTGTACTTAAAGCTCGTGACATTCTACAATTTGAAGGAAAGAAATTAGAAAAGTTTTCACCAGAAGAATCAGTTTGCAGTTTTCCAAGAAATTCCTAATTAGTGGGTTCCAAGAGGTACAATGTAACGAATTTTTGTGTGAATAATATCTTTCAATAAAATTAAATAGTCTGAGTACCAACAAAGTGGCTAATTGCTTGCAGACATCGATTTTGATTTTATTGTTCCTTGGGTTAAAATAATTTTGAGTATTTGTTTGTTAGAAATAATAAAACAAATAAAACCAACCAAATAATTCCAATAAAACAAAATATGGAGCTAAAATATCTCTGTTCATAATTTGGAATTTGTGAAAAATATGTTTCTAACTAGTTTAATAAATAACTCAATTTCTAATTGATGAACTCATTGTCAACGGTAGCGACAAAAATACAAAGATTTCTTTCATTTCTCAATAAAATATCAAACAAAACTTATTACGCTAAGAATATTATGTAAGTTCAGACGTTTTAGATTTACATAGCTGAACGTCAAATGGTCAGTTTATTTGTTAGGAATGCAAATGAATATTCCTTTCAAACCATACAGAATAATACATATTCTCACTCATGTCATACATCCAGATGGAGGGAAAGAAAAACCGAAAGGCGATGACCTTATCCAATAAAACATTTTGAAGATAAAGGCCGAGCGGGAGCTGAAGTTGTGATGAATGGAAAAGAGCAGTCAGAAGACGTGAACACTTTGGACGCCTTGTTTCGAGCGTTGTAACGATAAGGCCGCTGTTCCGAGGCCTTGGCTTCGGTTTGCCCACATGCTGTCACTCCGATGATAGACGGCTGACGGTTTGGGGAGCGGGCAAGCTGGCGCAGTGTGAGTGTATCTTCCTAATGATTTGACGTCACTACAATTTTCCGGGCAAGTTGAACAATTAACTTCTACATCATATTTACGATAGTAGTACAACAATAAGTTTATTATCTGCGCAATTTCATCACAATAGATCATTTATTACATTCAAGTGATCTCGAATTATGTCCTCAATACATCCAAATGATTTTATTGAAGTGCATGCTTTTTTGCGTTCAAAACGAAACTTGAAGAGTTCATTTATAAATACGATAATGTGTAAACTAATTGGCGTGTCAGATAGATAATAACAAATATAATATGAATCTTCCGAGTTACAAGAGACAAAAGTTCATTCTCTCCCCGGAACCCGTCAAGCTACGTAAGAATGCATCTATATGTAAGAAACATGCAGTATGTGAGAGTAGAAATTTCATTTTTAGACGTGAAAATATTAAATATTTTCATAACGAGGAAGAACACGCAACTAATGAATACGAAATTTTACGTTAATAAATACGATAGATCGATAAAACAAAAAACCATATCCATGCGGATTTCTACAAGATTTTTGCTATAAACCAACGAGATTATCTAAGAATAAAAACATTTACAATGAACCTCTTCGAAACTAGCCTGTGCACAAGTCAAGTTTATATTATTAGAATTGGTTCAATTTCGTTGATATAACGTTTTTTTGAATGACTCATAGTAAATAACTGTTTCCTTTAATAAACACATTTAAGTCAAGAGGCATGTCATGAGTCAATGCTGTCTTCTCATCACAGAAGAGTTAACTTCCGTATTCTTCATTCATGTTGATTCTTAAACAACGAAAATATTCCAGAATAACCCGGCATCGTCCGTCGTAAATACTTCAGGTTCCCCGCCCCCGACCCATTTCTCGAAAACAGAAACGAGAACAGCGATCGGAAATCTCACGGCGATGAAAAGATAAGCCCTCCGTTGATGCAACGAAGATGGTGAAAAGCACGCAACATGCGTGCGTCCGCGTCATCCCTCGGAGCACCACTTCCTTCGTGCACGCCGTGTCCTCTTCCGGAGGCGGAGGCGCTGCTGCGCAATACCTATCTGGCGCGCGCCCGCTCCATTTGTCAGCATTAGCTCGCGCGCCGCGCCGCACCGCTCCGCTTTGGCAGCATACTGGCAGCAACGCCACCCACCACCGCCACGCCCTTCCTTACTCGTCCCGCCTCCGCCTCCCCTACCCCCCTCCGCCTCCCACCCTTCGCCCTCGCCCTTCCCGACACCGCCACTCCACTCCTCCCCACCGCCTCCATCTCCTCCACCTCATCCGCCTCCACCCCGCCACCGCGACCACCGCCACCGCCACCCCTCCCCACCTCCACCCGCTTCATCTCCTCCACTCCTCCGTCTCACCTCTCCGCCACCGCTTCCGCCACCACCACCCGCACCGCCTCCATCTCCTCCCGCCCTCCGCCACACCCTCCGCCACCCCCACTATACACCCCTCCACCTCCTCCTCCTCCACCCCCCACCACCGCCGGCCCAACGTCAAACCCCTCCGCCTCCCCACCGCCACCGCCACCGCCACCGCCACCCTTTCCCTTCCGCCTTCTTCGCAGTCGCTTCCGCCACTCCACCCCTCCGACTCCCATCCCTTTACCTGTCCTCCGCCTCCACCTCCTCCGCCACCCCCATTTCGCCACCCCCTCCGCCACCCCACCGACACCGCCAGCACTTCACTGTCAAGCCGCTACCCGCCTACTAACCCCGCCTCCTCGCCTCTCCGCTTCCTCCGTCCTCCTCCGCCTCCTACCGCCTCCTCCGCCTCCTCCGCCTCCTCCCGCTCCTCCGCCTCCTGCCGCCTCCTCCGCCTCCTCCGCCTCCTCCGCCTCCCCGGCCTACCGTCGCCGTCGCCTCCGTCGCCGTCCCTCCATCGCCGCGCGGGGCGGGGTGAATGCGGCGCGGAGTGCTATATTAGCGTACGACAGCAGATAATAGAAGCTACATTGCTGGCGCTCGGGGCGACGT